TAGAACTTCTAGATTCCCAGTTTTACCAGAGTTCCTAGACCCCCTCAGCAATCAGAACCTTCAGATTTTCCTTCATTCCCAACAACCTTAGAACTTGGTGTACCCAGACCCAGAACTTCTGACCTTTTACTTTTCTACTAACATTTTCTCTCTAGCAGCGTATCAGAGTCAATACTTATGTTCCTTCTCGTTTCAGCAACGTGCTGATTCTGACTCATTTTTCTGTCATTTATCTTATTTTAGCTTTTAATAATCAAAAACACCAAAAAGTATTTTATATTCACATGTTTTATTTTAGTTATTTTAGAACAAAAAGATCAAAATATTTTCTTAAGTAAACCTATTTCTTTACTTAAACAAAACAAGTCCATTTCAATTCTTGTACATTATTTCAATATAGTTGTAATAGATAACTAGGACCCTTAGGGGAATATCACTTGTTGCCTATTGGAAAAATAGTCATGTCCCTCGAACATGGACGTTTTAGCAAAGACCCTCGATAAAAGATCGTAGTCCCTCGATGACCCTCGATGTTGTCTTCGATAAACGATCTAGTGTCTAAACGATATTGCTAAAATGTTCCATAAGTTTCCTTCTATGACTATAAAAACGTCTCACGCATGTCCCTTCACATCCAATGATGGAGCTTCTTACTAAAACAATGGTAAGATAGTAACATCTAAAGGAGGAAGAAAAGAACATTTAAGACCTTTTGAGTAGGTAGATTCGCTCCTAGTTGCTCGCTTACTTACAACAAAAACATTTTATACACCAACACACTCATTTGAAACATTTTCAAAAGACAAACACTTTGTACGCGTTCTTATAGAAACGAGAGTCATTACAAAGAAGACACCTTTTTCAAAATCTCTTTCAAAAGCACATTCCATAAACACCTCTTTGAACTATTTTCAAAATAACACTTTGTACGCGTTCTTATAGAAACGAGAACCATTACAAAGATATTTTTAAAATACTTTCAAAAACCATACCACAAGCACACATTCAAATAAAAGCAAGTGATCTAGCAAGCAACTAAGATCCCGTAGATAACTACGGATGAAAAGGGTGCTAATACCTTCCCTTTTCATAATCTACCCCCTGAACTCAGAAAACATCTCGAAAGCTATTTCCTGTTCTTTTCAGCCTTTCCTTTTTGGATAAAAGAAAAGTCGGTGGCGACTCTTGCTATCTGCAGTATTGCGATCAAACGCAAACAACCAAGTCAGTTCTCCCACCATATTACAGTAAAGATAAAATGTTTGGATGAAGGTTTAGCTCAAAGATTAGTAAGCTTTAATGTAAAGCTTACTATTTTTTTTTGTAAAAATGGAGCTTTGAGTGAATTTGGTAGATGAAGGGAATTGAGAGATTTTTTAGCAAGGTGAATTTGGCTATCAAAAGCTTGAAATTTGAATGAAGTGGTGGCTCTATTTATCGAGTTTAGGCTTGGGATTAGTGGTGGTTTGGTAATTAATTCTTGGAGCCAAAATTTGAAATAATGATATATCTTTCAAAAAATGAAAAATTGGAGCAAAAATTTGAATTAATGATATATCTTTCAAAAATGAAGACAAATTGGAGCCAAAATTTGAATTAATGATATATCTTTCAAAAATGAAGAAAATTTGGAGCCAAAATAGACAACCTTGAAATTGCTGATTTTTTTCAAAATTTCACTTTGTGCAATCGTTTGCACTCTGGGAGCAATCGATTGTACGGTGAATTTTTTTTCAAATATTACGCAAAATGCACTCTGTACAATCGATTGCACTCTAATAGCAATCTATTGTACAGTAAAAAAAATGAAATTTTTTTTTTATTATTTTCCTTTGCAAATAAAGACTTTAGGGAAATAATACCGAAAAACCTTATTTGTCAGATGCTTTGACTCGGTATCTACAAAATACAAATATACAAAGACAAAGACAAATATTTTTTTGTATTTTTATTAGAAGTTAGTCAACAAAACAAGAGAAAACTTAAAGATAGGATGCAAATGTGATAAATGAAGCTATTTATTAATGATTGTGATCAAATGACAAAATATGATATGAAAGTGCGACTGAAAAAGTTAGGGGCGAAATTTTAGGTACAACAGCTTCCACCTAAATTTCTACAGAACCTGAGGAGAAAGAATGGGAGTCAGAATCACTCAAAGAGGTGAAGTTACAACCGTAAACTTCCCTTGTGATTCGATTAAACTTCTTATGACCTAGAGTACCCTTAACCTCCTGCATGCATTGATTCCACAACTCCCTCCTCTCTTCAGCATTTGTGGGTTTTACAATATTTCCCTCATCACCGCATTCTCTTATGGTAACCATTATCTAAAGATAAAAACCAAGGAAAAAGCAAAAATAAGGCGAAAGGATAAAGGGAAAATACCTGGAAATTGACGAACATATGGGGAATGTATACACTTTCTTTGGAGTTGTAACATTTCCAGATGCTTAGGTGAAAAAGAAAAGATGGAAATAGGGTTTTACTAGGGCCCAATGAATAGTGCATTGGGGAAGGAAATGTCACCCAATGAACGAAGACTTAAGTAAAGTCATCGTTACACTATGAGAGAGAAGATGTGTGACTTTTTCATTCTATGACCCAAAGTTAAAATCATGTTACAACCCGGTCTAGACCTCAATACTTTTTGTGCCTTTCGTGACTGAACATTGCATCCTTACTGAAAGAATTTGAATTCGGGGGGCTTATGTATATCCCATAAATATTAATCTCGACAGGTTTATGATGTTGTATGAAAAGAGAACAAGACTAGTGATCGGCCCATAATAATGTGCGGTGCCCATAAGGAGGTGCAACTCGATTACATGTGTTGAACGATCGTCAATATCTTCGAGTAGCAACCCATCTGCGCCACCAACCTGAATGGCACTTGTGAACGGAGTCCACATACCCATAGCTGATCAGCAACCTGACTCATTAATGACTAAAACAGTCGCCGATACATTAAACTCAGTGTTACTTAGCTTTGAACACCTTCATTCATGTTGAATGCGGTTGTTAAACGGTTACGAAGCTCAAGGGTCACACCTTGATTAAGGCTCTTAATGGAGCTAAAGAATGACTATATAAGGGGCTCCCGCAAGAGAGATAAACAAGACATCCATTCTTAGGATAATACGCACCATTGTCGTAGCTTTCAAATCCCTAAACAATCTACAAAAATCTATCCCTTGCGGCTCTCCCTATACCTATAGAGAAGCTACTCGTTTATTGTTCCTACACAAGAACAACAAGAGTCTCAGGAACAGATTCACAAGATTAGGATCACTCTCTCTTTAAAACATGTCAAGAATCTCAAAAAGATTTACGATGAGTTGGAGTATTCGACAAGGGCAGTTAGGAGATTCGAAGATGTTTTCGACAAAAATAATTAAGAGATTTAAGAGCATTTATCAACTTAGACAACAGTTTGGAGGCAGTTCAAAGACCATGGATGTGTGAAAGCAAAGCATAGAACAAAGATTCACGTAATAATATATGTGTCGGGTCCTAAGAAAGTAATTGTTATTGACGGTTATTGATGTAGTTAATTTATAAGATTGCATTTATATAATCAAGGTTCACATTGAATTCATATAAAACTCAAATATCCAAGTCACAGAAAGAAAAAAGAGTTCGTAGAAAAACATATATAAATCTACATCCCTTTTATAAAAGCATTCAATTTATTTATTTATTTTATTTACTTTGTCTTATCAAGCAAATCTATATTGTTCTTATTAGTGTTTAAATGGAATGGAGAAATTATAAATGAAATAATTTTATTATTGCCCTTGAATATTTATTTTGTATAACCAACTCAACGCATTGGCACTATGCTCCTTTACAATCTATAGTTAGAGAAATCGAATTGACATCTTTCAAGTTTGATTTCCTTTTTGCAAGTAACTGATAAAAATAAGAAAAATAAGAGGCCTCGACATTTTGTATGAATGAAAGCATAATACTACATGTACTTTTTATGAGTTACATTTCACCTTTTTAAATTTATTAAATAATTAATATATATGTAGGAGTAAATACATTAACTATTTAATATATCTAAAATATCTCTTTTTGGAGTGAATATTAAGCATAATATTAACGATGTTGCCTCCATTATAAAAAAAAGTGTGACTAAAGTAATAAAAAAGAGTGAAAACATGATGACACATCTTCGTCATTCAAAGTTTCAAACTTCATCATTCAAAAGTAAACAAATGTGACTAAAAAACATAAACCACTTTCATAACACCTATACACAGCATGGTCTTGTTCATAGCATGTTACTAGTAAAATCTATCCGATCTAACTTAGCAGGAACAACTACATACACCACTTTCAATTTTCATCTATTATGCTATGCATTAACAGTAATGGTTAATTTATCAATACCGGATAAAAACAATTTAATAAAAAAATATTTTTCTTTTTTTATTCATATATTCTTTTATATTTATAAAATTGCTAAAATAAGTCAATTATTATGAAATACTAGTAAATGGAGTAATAATTGTATTTTAAAAAAGAAACCTGATATTTCTTTTTTACTGTAAAAGTGTGTTTGATTATCAATAAATAACTGAATCAAAACAGCAGTAGACATTTTTTTTATACTTCAGTACATTTAATAGTCAATGTATAAGAGACAAATTTATATTACATATATATAAACAAAACAATAATAAACTTACTCTTATACCCTTTCTATTATACCTTGTTTTAAGGCATCAACAATGATTCTTTCTATTATACCTTGTTGAACACATGTATTAATAACAAAATACGTAAGGAAAAATAATCGAATAAAAAAGTTAAAAACATATAGTACTAATGTGGGACCAAAAGATAAGGAAAAAGTAACATGTTTTTTCTTTTGGGACTGAAAGTGAGTACTATGTTTTAAGCTGTCTAACATTTATAATTAAAACTAAAAAAATTACAACATGAAGAAAATGGGGTTTTGACAGACATTCAAAACCCACAAGAGAAGTTGATCACATGATTTTCCTAGGTCTATTAGATAGTGTTTTAGATCTAGTGCGATGCACCTTCTTTGGAGCTTCTGTAACTAATGCATATATCTTCACAGCAAATAATCCATCCGGGAATCCTTTCTGATCCTGATGGAACATAAAAACAGCTTTAATATCAGAATCAATGAAACTGAAAAGGATTGGTGAAAAGTATACTATGTCAGAAGAGATTCTCAATAATAATGGAGGGCCATGCCAATCAAGTACTAGTACATTGTTCACACAATAAAAACAAGCAGTACTACTCATAATGAAAGATGTCAAAAATAAGCCATTCTGGTTAAAAACACAACGTCATCATGAGAACATATCGTTTAAAGTAGACGCAACAACATGCTGCAAGGTCCACATAGAGTGAAAAGTAACTTTCACTTTTTCATTGTAAGAATTTGGTGTTAAATTTTCAACCTAACACTACTTTGGGGGAAGAAGATTAAAGCCTAATTTGTTTAATGTGCATGAAAGATGCATTAAGAAAATTCAACAAAGTTGTTGATTATACTGATCAAAAGTAGAGAACTACCTTATATATATTATACATATTAGAAAAAAAAACATCTCGAGGAAGCGCAGGCTATAGTTTATTTGATCGATGAAGAAAATTAGAACGTAAGAGACATCATAGAGAATCCTAGTGTCCAGCTGAGGATGGTTGAACCTTGGCCGGCACTTTTAATCTTACTAATGAAAAGACAGTAAATTACCTTTACTTTGTAAATATGCAAGCCACATCTAGAGAAGAGTTCTCTGAAATATGAATCGGACCTTGTAATGCTTCTGTCATCATTATCAAGCACAAATCCTGCAAAGAACAAAGCATTAATCCAAAACAATAAAGTTCAACTTACTGGAAGATGCACAGATCTATTATCAACACATCTTTAATCTAAAGGAAGTAAATCATTTAATATGAATGGAAAAACAGAAATGCAACAAAGAGCAAAAACGTACCAGATTTGGAAATATTCTCCTTCAGGACAAATAGTCCCCCTGGTTTAAGGCCGACCTATGTTAATGCCATTGGTGAAAACAAAGGATGAAAGTGAGATATTTTTGCAAATTAAATTAAAATTATATAACAATAACGGTAGACAAATACTGCATTTTTTTTAATTACCATAACAGAAGGAAAGAAAGAAATTGATTTTACAAATCAATTGAAAGTTATAATTGAACAAAAACCATCACATGGTTAAGACTCAACCATAACCAATAAATAAATACTATAAATTATCAATCCTTAGAAGTGCTAAGGCTTAATTGCGTATCAAATATTTCTGCACGCCCAATTAGTATGAGTTACAGTTTCTCTTACGAACTAACTAATACATTGTGATTTTGAACATTTTGTGTGAGTAAGTGACAACTTTAAGATAGTCTACCAACAAAAGGATTTTTACTCAATGAAAAGTAGTACTAGATACTGTACCTGAAATATCATTCACAGGTAATTTGGTAAATGTGAACCAAAACAATTTAATCATAGAAAATCCCAAATAAAATGGATTACATTATCAAGATGCAAAAGGATGTCATTTTAATTTTCAAATATTGGTAAATAGAGTTGAGCTGCTAAAGTCTTAAGTAAATCTTTAATTCTACTAATATTCTTAAATCCAAAATGGATTGTTTTAAATGTATATTCCTTCACTCCCAATTAATGAATACCTTGATATTGTTAAGTGACAAATATAGTTTATTCTTTCATACCAAAATGTGACACTTTTAAGCTCTTTTCCATGCTTTTGATAATAAAAATGTCTATAATTAATTGAGTCTTGCATCAATGTATATAACCATTGGCGTGTCAGTGTTTGGGAAGGCTCACCCAGCGAGCAGGAGGCGGGGAAGAGAAGGCTCACCTGGTGAGAGCCAGGCGAGCCAGAATGAGAAAATTCCAGTAGCAATTGGAATTGGATTTTGCCATTTTTGCCTGGTGAGACTTTCGAGCGATGGGCGAAGGCAAATATTTTCTTGCAGCATGGGTGCTCTGTGTCAAGATGCTTTTGGGGCGCCGGGCAACGCTTTCTGGGCAGATTTTGTATAAGTATCTACTTGTAGATATTTTTGGGATCATTTTCATACTTTGTGATGTAGAACTCATTTGTGAGAGAGAGAAAAGTCATCTTCATTTGTAACTCAAATCCAAAGCTTTCAAGCTTCAATCTTTGATCCTTTCAAGTATGATGCTTCTAAAGCTTTGTTTATTACTTGTTGCTCAAGCTACCATGGTGATGGGTAGCTAAATCCTTCTTTGTGTTATGATTAGAGGTACTTAACCTTTATTTGTATGTATTTCTTTTGATACATTGTATGTGACCAGGTTAATGATTAATATACGGTGAATATCTTTACTTTTTATGACATGTTTGATTTGGATCATTATAGACAAATATGTTCAAATCTTGATCTAAGTTTTCATCTATCAACAGCCAAACTCTAAAAATAGTTGTGAGTTGATATTCACTTGTATCAAACTTTCAAAGTTATCATATTGATAGTTAGTTTGAGACATCATCTAAGGATCAATATGGTAAAACTCACAATATTATTTTAGAGATAAAATGTATTGAGAGGATACGTGTTTATATTGATTGTTAATAAGTTCACATGTTTTATTAAGAAAATACGTATGGACTAGGTTAATAATAAACCCTAAACTTGACATACTTTTACAAATCATTTTTAAAACCTAAATTTTTACAGTTATTCATTACTTTGCATGCAATTGTTATGTTGTGAAACTAAAACTCTATTATACCATTTGCTTAAAACAATTTCAAGTGTAGAATGGCGATAGTATCACACGATCCCTGTAGATATGATACACAAAATACTTGCCCTGTAAAAGTGTTTAAACAAACTCTCCCCAATTTGCTATATTTGACACTTAACAATCTCTCCCCGACTTGCATCTTTGCTTGTCCCCAATCAAAGGTAAATTTCCAAAGGAACAAGAAGAAATTCTCGACACAAAATCAACTGAAAAAAATGCATGGTTCAAACTCAACAATCGCGCGCACAAATCATTCTCAATCACTTTGTTAGAATCAAAACATGATAATGAATTAAGTTCTAAACACAAACATCAAATAATGCAAACTCAAGTTACAACATGTTCATATTTGAATCACCTACTTCTCACAATATCCATTTCAAGAAGAATTATGTACAACTATTTACAAGGGACAAAACACTCTCACTAGTAATTGTGCTAGCATCCAGAATAATTAACGCATTCATCTAAACAAAACAAAAAGAAGATCAAGGAAATTGTTGATATTTATAAATATAGTGTTAAGAATATTTGTATGTAGAATAGTCTCACATCGATTATATCGTGTAATTAGTTATAATCTCTATATATATAATAAAGTCTTCGTAGTGCTTTCAAAACACACGGTTTAACCTAAATGTCTCTTAGTCTCTCCTAATTCAATATGGTATCTAGAGCCTTCTAAGAGGCAATCCTTCGTCGTGCTTTATCCGGTTGACCCACTGTCTTTCAGTGAAAAAATTTCTTCTGCAAACCGTGTCATCATTCCGGTTTGCCTCACCTTTTTTTTTTAAATTTTCAGCGACCTCCGCCGCTGCACATGTCACAGGGTAAAAAAAATTTCGGGGGGCTACTGTTCACTGCCGCCGCACTGTTCACCTTCGCCACCACTATTCATCGTCGCCGCTACTGTTCACAAAAAAAAATTATCGAAAAATCGCTTTCCTCCTCCGATTCTAGATCCGCCCTCACTTTCCGTTTTCGACTCACATAAAGTCGTACTCTTGTTCAAACAGCCCCAGTTACTGTGTTTTAAGCCATGGGAGATGCTGATTCTGTCTCATTTACTAAAGTTCCGCTTATCCCATGTGAAAAACTAACCGGATCAGCCAACTATAACATATAGGCTTGTGATGTCGAGATGTGGTTTCACGGTCAAGGATATGAAGAGCATCTAACCACCCAATTGAGTGACATTGCAGCCGTCAAACTCGCTAAATGGAAGAAAACTGATGCCTCTTTTGTGTACTGTGTTGTGGTTTTCCATAGCACCTAACCTTCAAGCGCAGTACCAAGCATTCTCCGCTTGTTATGAGGTGTGGCAAAAGGCCAAGAAAGTCTTTTCCAACGACGTTCATTCTCTATATACAGTGTCATACACAAACTCAACACACTGAAGTTGGAAAATATGGATGTGTAAGCTTATCTGAGTAAGCTTGATGCCTTGAAAGCAAGTTACGCAACCCTCATGCCTTACGCAAAAGATGCAATAGCTCATGCCGAACAACAGAGTAAATATTTCATGGTCATGGCACTTAAAGGACTACCATCATAACTCGAATCTGTTTGTAACCAGATTTTATCAGGTACTATTGTTCCTAACTATGATACAGTTAGTGAACAATTGTTGCACTTGGCTACACCTCATGTGTTTGGCCCGGTTTCTCCTCCATCTATTGCTATTCCAACACCAGGTGACACTGTTGCTCTTGCATCTCTTGGCAACAATCAAAATCGCCTTCGAGGAGGATCATCCAACTCTAAGCCTCGTCCTAAGTGTGACCATTGTAACCAGCTTGGACATACTATCGATCGTTGCTAGAAGTTGCATGGCAAACCTCCATGGCAGGTAAATACAACTCAAATTGATAACCAAGACACTATGCAGACTTCACCTTCTCTTCAGAATCCCACGCCAAGCTACGAGGATTTTCTCAGGTGGTGTCAGACTAACCAGACCTATGGTTCCACGACTTCGAGTGCACACTGATAATTCATCTGTTTGTGTCTTTCAATCATCTCCTCTTGGTCCTTGGGTCCTCGACTCTGGTGCGTCTGATCATGTTACCGGTAATAAAAATATTTTCTCTTCCCTTTCTACCTCTGGTTTCTTACCGAGTATAATTGCCGCAAATGGTTCTCAAACTCAGTCCCAAGGGATTGGTACTGTTCAAATTCTACCATCTCTCTGTTATTTGTGTCCTATATGTACCTAATTGCCCATTTAATCTACTGCCAGTCAGTCGTTTAACTCGTTCCCTTAATTGTTTTATCACTTTTACTAACAGTGATGTTATTCTGCAGGATCGAAGTTCCGGACAGACGATTGGCATCGGATGTGAGTCTCAATGCCTCTACTACTTCTCTGCGTCATCTACCACATGCTCCACCACAGATTCTCCACTCATTATACATGCGCAGTTAGGTCATCCAAGTCTTCCCAAGCTACAAAAATTGGTGCCCGGTTTATCTAAATTATCTACTTTACAAGGTGAGTCTTGTCAATTAGAGAAAATACTCGTAGTCGATCGAGTCAATAAACGGGTTGCGCCCCCTTTTGCTTTAGTTCACTCTGATGCTTGAGGTCCATCGTGTATCGTGTCTACTTGAGTTTAGGTATTTTGTAACATTTATTGATGATTTTTCACGTTGCATGTGGCTATTTTTAATGAAAAACAGATCTGAATTGTTTTCTATTTTTGAATAATTTTATCGAGAAATAAGAACTCAATTTGGTTTGTCCATTCGTATCTTAAGAAGTGACAATGCACGTGAATATTTATCCCAATAATTTCACTTTTATGTCATATGATGGTATTCTACACCAAACATCTTGCCCTCATACACCTCAACAAAACGGGGTAGCCGAACGCAAAAACCGACATCTCGTAGAAATCACTCGGACTCTACTTCTCCATGGTAATGTCCCTCTCAGATTTTGGGGGGATGTTGAGCTCACGGCGTGTTATCTCATAAATCGCATGCCCTCATATGTCCTTAATAATAAAATCTCTCATTCAATCATGTTTCCAAACTCTCCTCTTCACCCAATTCCTCCTCGAGTCTTCGGGTCTATATATTTTGTGCATAATCTCTCCCCTGGTCTTGATAAACTATTAGCTCGTTCACTAAAGTGTGTCTTTCTTGATTATCATCGATCCCAAAAGGGTTATCGTTGCTACTCACACACTCTACAACGATACCTGATATCGGTCGATGTTACCTTCTTCGAGTCTGTGCCATATTTTGCGTCCACCCAAGTCACTCCGGAACCCCTTCAAGAAAGTACTCCCACACCTCTTCCGGAAGTCCCATTTTTCATTATCCCCCATCATTCTAGGGAACCTATCCCTCGAGAAATTCCTACGATGGATGAAATGTGTGCTCTTCAAAGCAGTGGTACCTGGGAACTGGTTCCTCTATCCACTGGAAAATCTTTAGTAGGTTGTCGTTGGCTTTATACAGTGGAGGTTGGTCCAAATGGTAAGATTGATCGTTTTAAAGCTCGCTTGGTAGCCAAGGGATACACTCAGATTTTTGGGTTGGATTATAGTGATACCTTCTCACCTGTAGCCAAGATGGCATCTGTTAGACTTCTTCTAGCCATTGCAGTCATTCGACATTGGCCTCTTCATCAATTTGACATCAAAAATGCATTTTTACATGGCGATCTTGAAGAGGAAGTATATATGGAGCAACCACATGGGTTTGTTGCTCAAGGGGAGTCATCGAGTATGGTTTGTAGGCTACACAGGTCTCTTTATGGTCTTAAGCAATCTCCGAGAGCTTGGTTTGGCAGATTCAGCAATGTAGTACAACAATTTGTTATGGTCCGTAATGAAGCTGATCATTCTGTCTTTTATCGTCACTCAGTCTAAGGGTGTATTTATCTTATTGTGTGTGTAGATGATTTTGTCATAACTAGTAGTGATGAGTCGGGAATACTCCAGTTGAAACAACATCTTTCGAATCAATTTCAGACAAAGGATCTTGGTAAACTCCGGTATTTCTTGAATATTGAGGTAGCCCAATCTAAAGATGATTTGGTGATTCCATGCTTTTGATAATGAAAATGTCTATAATTAATTGAGTCTTGGATCAATGTATATAACCATGGTATTTTTAATGTGTTCGTTAGTTTTTCATCATTTTAGGATCAAATTATGCAGCTTAGGACAGACTTGGAGAAAAAGAAATGAAGAAATTGACGTGTCAGTGTTTGGGAAGGCTCGCCCAATGAGCTGGAGGCGAGGAAGAGAAGGCTTGCCCGACGAGAGCCAGGCGAGCTAGGATGAGAAAATTCTAGTAGCTACTGGAATTGGATTTTGCCAGTTTGGCCCGACGAGGCTTTCGAGCGTTGGGCGAAGGCAGATATTTTCTTGCAGCATGGGTGTTCTGTGTGCTGTCACGTGGGATTTTTAGTGGTTTTCGCCCAACGATGCTTTTGGGGCGTCGGACGACACTTTCTGAGCAGATTTTGTATAAGTAGCTACTTGTAGATATGTTTGGGATCACTTCCATCAGTTTCATACTTTGTGACCTAGAACTCATTTGTGAGAGAGAGAAAAAGTCATATTCTTCATTTGTAACTCATATCCAAAGCTTTCAAGCTTCAATCTTTGATCCTTTCAAGTTTGATGCTTCTAAAGCTTTGTTTATTACTTGTTGCTCAAGCTACCATGGTGATGGGTAGCTAAATCCTTCTTTGTGTTATGATTAGAGGTACTTAACCTTTATTTGTATGTATTTCTTTTGATACATTGTATGTGACCAGGTTAATGATTAATATACGGTGAATATCTTTACTTTTTATGACATGTTTGATTTGGATCATTATAGACAAATATGTTCAAATCTTGATCTAAGTTTTCATCTATCAACAGCCAAACTCTAGAAATAGTTTTGATAGAAAATACGTGTTTATATTGATTGTTAATAAATTCACATGCTTTATTAAAAAAATATGCACAGACTACGTTAATGAACCTTAATCTTGACGTGCTTTTACAAATCGTTTTAAAAACCTAAACTCTTTTTACAGATATTCATTACTTTTATGCAATTGTTACGTTGTGAAACTAAAACTCTTTTATACCATTTACTTAAAACAATTTCAACTGTAGAACAGTGATAATATCACTCAATCCATGTGGATACGATAAAGAAAATATCTGCCCTGTAAAAGTGTTTCAACAGATATGCATAGTCATAAATATTAATCAAATAAATGAGGACTTACCTTTGCCCTCTTGAAAAATGTAATAAAATCATCATCTGTGAGATGACCAATACACCATTGAATCCATATTACGTCATATCTTCCAACATCTGGTGTAAAATCCTAAATCAAGAAAATCAAGAGGTGCTCAATAACTTCACTGGAGAAAAGATAAAAGAAATAATAAAATTATTAAAGGTCAAACAAGTATTGAAAGGGCCAGAGAAGCTCAATACATTATTACTGTAGAATGTCTGCAAGAGTATTTAAACTACTATATATCTCTATTATGATAAATGCCAGTTTGCAGATTATTGTTTACTTGCTAACTGTCACGGTTAAAAAATGAAAAGCATAGACTAAATATTATTGATGTGAACTTACAATGTCTCTCGACAGACAGAATATATGGAAGAAAGAAAGAAAAACTGGAGCACCAACAAAACCAATAAATTTAAAGGTCTGGAACTATTAAATTAACTTTTTTGTAATCAGAAAAAAAAAAGCTAAAATGCCTCTTCACTCTCATAAAATGGTAAATAAAAAATTAACTTAATAGAGAAATAGCTAATATGTTCAAATATAGCTTAGTCAAACAAGGCCTAAAACTAGGGTATAAATAGTCATATACTGATTACTGTAACTAACTTTTGATGATAGATGATCTTGATAACAGAAAATGGAATCTTCTCTATCTCTATGATAGAAACCCACACCTTCCTAATGCTAAAATGGTCATTTTCCTATCAAATTCCACACAAACCAACTCTCATCTATCTTCCCCTATTTATTCTAAACATAAACCTATAAGATTCAATAAAACGTAACTTCTCCTAATAATATAATAACTGTCATTAAATTGCTAATATAATATAATAATAATTGCCACTTAAACAAAACATAACTGCTACAAAACTGAACAGTCAGTTTTCCTTAATTCTTCTCTGAGAAATCTAACCCTCTTTTCTTCACTTTCTTTCTTTTTTTCTAATATGGTGTTCAGAGCTTGAAATCAGGTCTCTTGCTGTGACTTCTGAAGGTGATTTAAAGCAAACGGTTTGAGAATCCACATCGTCCCTAACTTACAGTTCGAAGAACATCTTCAAGATGTTCACTAAACAAATCACTCTCAAATTGAATATATATATATATATATATATATATATATATATATATATATATATATATATATATATATATATATATATATATATATATATATATATATATCAACACTCCCCCTCAAGCTTGAGCATATAAGTCAAATGCACCAAGCTTGTCAGATATATAATTAGTTCTGAGACTTCGCAAAGATTTTGTAAACACATCTGTTAATTGATCATTCGAGTTGACAAAGCTTGTGGTGATGTCGCCTGACTCGATCTTCTCTCTGACAAAGTGACAGTCAATCTCAAAATGTTTGGTCCGCTCATGGAAGACCGGATTCGAAACAATGTGCAATGCAGCTTGATTATCACAAATAAGTGACATTGGTCTTGCTTCTTCAATTTTAAGTTCCTTGAACAACTGTTTTAACCAAACAAGTTCACATGTTGCCATCGCCATGACTCTATACTCGCCTCGGCGCTTGATCTTGCAACTACATTTTGTTTCTTACTTTTCCAAGATATAAGGTTTCCTCCAACAAGTACACAATACCCAGAGGTGGATCGTCTATCAATTGGTGATCCTGTCCAATCAGCATCGGAGTATCCAACTATCTGAGAATGTCCTTTATCTCCATACACTAAACCTTTTCCTGGAACACATTTGATGTATCTCAGAATCCGGATAACAGCATCCATGTGTTTCTGACAAGGGGAATTTAAGAACTGACTTACCACACTGACTGCAAAAGAAATGTTTGGACGAGTGACTGTGAGATAATTCAACTTTCCAACCAATCTTCTATACCCTCCCGAGTGTGATAGAGGCTCCCGCTGATTGTGTAGTAGTTTGACACTAGGATCCATAGGAGTGTATCAGTTGGTTTAGCGTTCAACAAACTTGTTTCTTCCAAAATATTTGTAGCATATTTCCGCTGAGAAATAACCGAACCATCTTTAGATTGGGCTACCTTAAATACATAAGAAATACCGGAGTTTACCAAGATCTTTTGTCTGAAATTGATTCGAGAGATGTTGTTTCAACTGGAGTATTCCCTGCTCATCACTATCAGTTACATGATCTGACGCACCAGAATCAAGGACCCAAGGTCCAAGAGAAGATGATTGAGAGAAGCAAAGAGATGAATTACCAGTGTGTGCAACCGAAACAGTAGAATTTGAATTCTGATAATTCTGATACCACTTGAGGAAATCGTCGTAGTTTGGCATAAAGTTCCAAGGAGTAGCCATGAGTATCGAATTTGGAAAAGTTGCACGGTGGCGAGTGCAGTGGTGTTAAAATCGTCGGAATCGGCCGGATCGAAGGAGGCGCTTTTGCCGGTAGGGTTAGTTTGCCAGAAGGTCGCCGAAATTAGTAGCGGCGGATGGCGGCAGCAGTTCGATGGTTACCAGAGATTTTGGAAAGTGGGAGGCAAACTAGAGTGATGACACGATTTGCAAAAAAAAATTTGTCACCAGAAGACAATAGGTCAATCGGGTAAAACACGGCGAAGAATTGCCTCTTAGTAGGCTCTGATACCATCTTAGAGTTTTGACTTAACTCGACCCTACAAAACCGACTTGTAAGGTGAGGATTTCTCCCACTTATAAAATCATGTTCAGGCCATATTTTATCTGATGCGGGACTCTTAACACCTCCTCTCACGCCCGGGAATTAGGGCTGGAGCGTGGAACTAAATGGTGGGTGGCCCAGTGGATCTTAAATGAGGCTCCGATACCATATTGAATTAAGAAAGACTAAGAGACATTTAGGTTAAACCGTGTGTTTTGAAAAACACTACGGAGACTTTATTATATATAGAGAGATTACAACTAATGCAATGGTATAGTCGATGTGGGACTATTCTACATACAAATATATATATATCAACAGGATGAAACCAGTTTTCGTTCATGATAATCCTGTGTATCTCATGTAGGAGCAGCAAGATTCGCTCCTGTTTACGTGGCTTATCATCATGCTCTCTGATTCCATTCTTCTTTGTAGTCGTACGATGCGTCCAATCACATCATGTTTGGGGAGAAATTCATAAATACACATTTGCGGAAACAAACATGACTCGTCAGTTACGATCTGAACTGAAGCAGATCTCCAAAGGTGAGAAAACTATTGCTGAATATCTAGCTCATATTCAAAAGACTGTTGATGTTCTTGATTTGATTGATGATCCTATTTCACATGGTAATCAACTAGAAGCAATCTTAGATCGTTTAGCTGATGATTATAGTGCCCTTGTATCTACATTTCTGTATCATGCTGTTATCCGTTCTATCACTGAAGTTGAATCCATGCTTCTTTCACATGAATCTAAAGTTGAAAATATGTAGCAAGTCGTGTTAGCTGAACCACTTTCTGTTAATGTTGTTCAAGTCACACATTCTGTACCTAATTCTACATCTCAGCCTACCTATGATGCTGTCTCTGCACCTAATTCTGATCCTATGTCTCAACTCAATGGCAATCGTGGCAGGGGAGTCTCTATATAGACTTGCCGTAATAAATGCAAATAATTATAGGAATAATTACATGATATTCTACTCCTAGTTGCATGGAATTCTACTCCTAATTACATGATATTCTATCCTTATTTACACAATTCTATTTTATTTTTAAGAATTATGCTAGTAGCTTCCATAGGAAGTTACTAGAATAGCTAGATCTATACATCTCACACATTGGATAATATACAGTTTCATTCTCTTGATTTCAGAAGTTCTATCATTGATCCGATCTGCAAGATTATTGAGAGTCAGCATGACCTTCAAAATGGATGACAAAATTGATATTTAGAAGCAAGAACGGGGAGATTGAAGGAATCCGTGAAATCGTTTGTGGCAGAGTTTTGTCAATCAATGAGGATAGAGTTTCGTCCACAGATGAGGTACAAGGGTATTTGAACTGATTTTCTTAACTTGGGTATTTGCAGGTCTAGTTCTCGCATCAAATCACTTAGAAACATGATTACTTTAACTACTATTCTATACTCCTATTTATACAAATAGCCCTATACCAATCTCAACTAACTAACTTCTAACACAACTTTTAACTGCTTTAACTACTCTAATTGACCATTATTCTATATCGTAAGTCCTAACAGTTCGGATCTACCCTAATTAACCATTATTCTATATCACAAGTCCTAACAGTTCGGATCTACCCTACTTGATTTTTCATTTTTTTTCAAAGTCAATATGATCCATCACTTTTCCTACAAAGGACTCCTAAAGGCATTGTGGTGCTTCTGGTTTATGTGGATGATATTGTGGTGATTAGCTCAAGAGTATATCTCTAAAATCAGACACGTGTTGCATTCATCGTTTCACATAAAAGAATTGGATCGTCTTACTTCTTGGGTTTAGAGGTACCTTACCAATCTGAACGAATTTTTTTAAATCAACAAAAGTATATTAAGGATCTAGTCCAACTTGTTGAACTCACAAGCAGAAAGCGTGATGACACTCCCATGGAAGTTAATATTAAATATCAACGAGAATAAGGTGACCTTCTTGATGATCCAATTCTTTATCGCAAGCTGGTTTGTAGTTGATGACAATGTATCATTGCATGTTTCTTAGTATAATTTCTAGTCACTTTAAATGTTTTTGCGTTTAATTAGTTTATGTTTTTGTAGGATTGAATAAAGAAACTGAAGATGCGTGGAAAAGACCAATCTAACCCAAAATCATCTTAACCAGACCAATTCAATGGTATTTTAATTTTACTATGGAAGTTATGATGACAAAGTAAGGAGAGGACTCGTACACAATAAACGGAAGAAAAAGAAGAGAAATTGCAAAAGGACGCAAAAACGGGTTGCACCTATAAAGCAGAGCAACGTTATTTTGAGCACGGATAGAACAAAATCAACAAATGAAGAAAAAGTGTCATACCAAAGGCCAAGCAGCTCGATATTTCACTACTGTGAAAATTGCGGCGCTCATACAAAGAAACAGCGGCGCGCTAACTACGATCACATACTGCTACATCAGCAACAT